TGGTCGCTCCCTGACGGTCGCGGCTCAGTGAGTTGTTACACGCCGAGCCGTCACCGTGACGGAGTACCAATGAGAACGGCTCAACCTTCGAGAACAGCCGGCACTTTGAAACCGACCGCATCCTTCCGCGGGGCGCTCGCTAGGGCCGCCTCGTGCGACAGGCCCGCGCGCACCTCGTCGGCCCGCAAGACGTTGTAGAGCTCGACGGCGTGGGCCATTGGTTCAACGCCCGCCGTATCGACCGCCGCCAGCGAATCGACGTACGCCACGATGCCGGCGATCTGCGGCGTCAGCGCTTCGAGCTGGGCGTCGTCCAAGTCGAGCCGCGCCAGGTGGGCGACGCGCTCGACATCGCTCCGAGAGATCGCCATGGCCCCTTCATCCGCAGAGGGTTACTTCTTCTTACCAGCCGCTTGCGGCTTAGCGGCCTTCACGGGCAACTGGAACGGCGCCGTGCGGACCTTCTTCACGACCGCGCCCGAGCGGATGCACTGCACGCAGACGCGCAAGTGAGCGGCGTTGCCACCCTCGCCCGCGACCTTGACGCGCTGCAAGTTCGGCTTGAACTGCCGCTTGGTGATGCCAGTGACCTTGGTGCCGACGCCGCCGAGGTACTTCTTCTTACCGCGGATGGTGACCTGGTTGCCGATCTGCGGGCCTTTGCCACAGAGTTCACAAGCGCGAGCCATCGGATTGCCTCGTGGTCGGCCGCCGGTGGGGCAGGCCTGGTGTGTTGAATCGTTGTGCGGGTGTCGAGGCCGTCCCCTGGTCGGGTAACGGACCCCTAGCCGTGGCCTTCCTGCCGCGGCGAATCGCACAGGTTAGCGGACCAAGGCGTGGGGGGCAATGCTCCCCAAAGGCGGAAAACCGGCTGAGACGTGGAAACTGTGGGAGGCGTCTCCAGACGCCGATTTCGCGCACCATGCCGATTCGGGATGGATACCGTAATCGGGGTCTGGAGACCCCTCCTACAGATTTCTGCCTACTTCCCAGCCGTGATCGCCAAAACCTGCTTCAAAACATGCCCGTTGGTGGCGATGCCTTCGCCGGCGTGGACGGTGGGGTCGCCGCTCCAGCTGGTGAAGGTGCCGCCGGCTTCTTCGAGGATCGGCTTCAGGCACGCCGCGTCCCAGACGCTCATCTTGGCGTCGACCATGAGCTCGGCCCGGCCGACGGCGACCATCATGTAGCCGTAACCGTCGCCCCAGGTGCGGGAAATGCGGGCCGTCTGCTGGAGGGCGAAGTAGGTCTCCGTGGCGTCCTCGGCGCGGTCCTGGAAGCCGCCGACGTCACCGGTTAGGAAGAGGCCCTCACCCAGGTCCTTCAGTTCCGAGACGTGCGCTCGGCTCAGCTCGCCGCCGCCGTTCTGGTACCAGGCGCCCCCGCCGATGGCGGCGTGGATCGTCTCGCCCGACGCCGGGGCGTTGATCACGCCCAGGATCGGCTCGCCGGAGGCCTCTTCGAGGACCGCCACTAAGTTGGTGTAGAGCGGCACGCCGTGCATGAAGGGCTTGGTGCCGTCGATCGGGTCGAGGATCCATTTGTAGCCCGACGTGCCGGGCTTTTCGGGGTACTCCTCACCGAGGATGCCGTCGTCGGGGAACCGCTCCTCGATCCGTTTCCGCAGGTGCTGCTCGGCGGCCTGATCGCCCTTTGTGACCGGGGTGTGGTCCTCTTTCCACTCGATCCGCAGGGTCGGTGAGCGGAAATAGGTCTGGGTGATCTCGCCCGCTTCGAGCGTGATCTGGCGGGCCCAATCGAGCCGCTCATTGGCGGCGGCCTTCCACTCGGCAGGGTACGTAGTGGGCGAAGCGGCGGCGGGCGTCGTCATGACGTCGATTCGGGGGTCCGTGTTCGGGAGTGCGCCAACGCTGGGCGCAGGTTGTCCGGCACGACCCAAACTACCCGTAGCGGAAAAAGTAGGGGAGCCCCCGAGTTTGGCTCGCCGCAACTCGTGTTGGCCAGTTTTCCCTGCCTTTCCCCGCCGCGTTGTTGGA